GCTGCCATCCTGGCCTGTCGCCACATGGGGCTCCTGTGGGACAACGCGGGCAAGCCGCGACCTGGGGACGCGGAGCTGCGGGAGTCGGTGAAGAGGGTGGCCAGCGAGTTTCTGTCCCGACCGCTCGCCCTGGGCCTGGGGCTGCGGCTGTTCGGGCTGGACCCCGGTTCCGGGGCGCTGACCGTGCACCTGGTGGGGGCCTCCCACAGCGAGACCCTGGGGGCCCGGACGACAGACTTGGACGAGCTGAGCCGCATGTTCCCCGGGCACCAGGGGCTGGAGGTGGTGATGGTGGGGCCCGAGGTGGTGGACGGACCCGTGCTGAGGCCTCCCCTGCAGGCTCTCGGGCCCCGGGGGAAGGTCTACATCAGCGCCTACAAGGGCCTCTACCACCAGTTCTGGGAAGAACTTGTGGAGCAGAAGGAGGCCGCGAAGCCCGATTTGGTTGTCGGCTTCCACCCAGGTAAGGAGGACTCAGAGGTTTGGCTGCTATGGTGGAGGTTCCACGGAGCCTGAGGTGACTTGGGTCTTGTATGTTCTTTAGCTCAAACAGGGGTCCTCATCACTGGTCATCTAGGGTTTCTTCAATCCCATAAATCCCTGTTTGACGATACCCATAGCCGTCTGCCTCCTTGCCTGCTTCCAGGACCAGCTAGCTAAAACTGGAACTAGCAGGAGCTAGCGTCCGGTTTCCAGCAAAAAAAAAAAAGGGAACCTTACCTAAAAAATTACAGCGTTGTGTCTTGACCGAAGTTTTTTGGGGCCCCGGCCAACACGCTCTTGAAGATATCGCTCGGCAGTCGCATTCGAGGCCGAAGCTGCCCGTTTTCTTTAAGAAAAGCAGAGGCAGCAGTTTCGCCGGCTCCCCTCAGCTCACTTTTCAGGTTGTAATTCATTGAAAGAGAGAGTGCAGCCCTCCGGACTTTTATTCAGCGTCTGGGTGATTCATGAGGGCAACAACTGGAGGGTCAGCCCTCGCTCGCCTGCCCGCCTGCCTTGCATAGCTCTCCACGTAGTGCCAGAGCTGGTTCAGCTAGGGTCTGTCACTAGCTCCGACCTCCCTGAGGACCGCAGCCGGCGCTAACAAATGAAAGAGGTATTAAGAGGGTGAAAAAAATCAATGCCAGTTATCACTTCCCTGCCCTGCATTCTCAAGGCCCCCAGGGGCACTGCACATGTCAGGATGGAGACACGATGCCCTCTGTTTATTTTCCCCTGATAAACGAGAGCTTTTAATTCCTTTTCAACTAGGTAAAGCCAAACGTTGCCAAGTTGCACCCACGTGTTCCTCTGTAAGAGTTTCAAGGTGGCGAATTATCAGCTTGTTTCTGCTGCTTCTCCCTGCTGTCCCGAATCTGCTTCACGCTATACCGTACGTCTGCGTGTGCTGTCCTACACATGGAGTGGTGGCTCTGTGGATCTGCGCCAGTGACTGGAAGGTTGCCAGTTCAAATCCCGCAGCTGGCAGAGGTCTGCACGAGCATGAAATTGAAGCCCGCACCTGGCCCGCGCGCCCCAGACCTTGGGACCCGACCCGACTGAGCCCGAACGGCACTGGCAAAGTTTGAAACCCAAACACGACCCCAAACTCGGAATCGGTCACTCCCTTGTCCTCTCAGAGTGCGTAGCCACGCGAGCGCACCCGGAGACGGATTCTCGCCGGCGCGGTTTTACAACGCGAGCGGGCCCGGGGGGAAAAAAGGAGTTTTACGTATTCCGGCTAATACATGTAAAACACCAAATAATAATAATTCATTTTCACCTGTTGGAAAACAAACCCGAACCCGGCCCCGAGCCTGAAGTTGTACGTGAAAAACCGACCCGAACCCCGATACTGTAGCAGACCTCTACCCCATACACACTACTACTGAAACAAAGGGTGTAAAAATCTCCTGCCAGCCCTCACTTTTGTCTTTGGATGCCTGCTGTCTCTCGTTTCGATACTGTAACCCTGGGGCCGAATCGTTGTCCGCACCTAATAAGGACAGATTGTAGTGGGGCTTCAAACAGCGCGGCCGGTGCCAGCTGACCTGAAAACAGGCACATGCATCTCCCGATTCCGAGTTTCCCTAGCCTGTTGGTGAACAGACTGCAGAAGCACAGATCTCTCCCATTCCTATCTCGCCAGATCCTTCCCCCTACCTCTGTCTCCACCTCGTGACTGGAGAGAGATAAATGTAGGAGCTCTGGCCCCTATCATAGCACCTGACAGAACTCCAGGCTGGCAGCCGGAGACTTGTCACCAGCTGATTGGGGCCTGTGGATTGACTGCAGGAGGTCAGCTCACGCCAAGATCCGAGACATTCGGGGGCACGGACTGTGATTGCAAGAGAACGCTCCTGTGAAGATGGGGAAGGGACACTCCCCTCCAGCTGTCCTTCTTGTTCCTCACCTCCTCCCGACACCCTCAGCCCTCAACTAAAGCTCAAAGAGCCGAATTTGTGTGGTCTTTCTCATTTTGCATTCTCAAAGAAAGAAAACAAAATCAGACTTTTCACTGTGGTGAAGATACTTCGATGCGAGTATATCACTTTCTCATCACAGTGGCGTGAAATCGCTCTATTGCTCTTTGTTAATTCCCGTATTGAAACATTCCAATATTTCTGTTTGTAAGGTTTTGGTTGTTGTTTTTTTATCTTAGAAAAAATACTTTTTTTCCCCCGAATGATCTTATAAAGTTTATCCTTGCCTCAGGCCTCTGAAAATGGGCAATCTTCATCAAACGCGGATGTGTTTCTCCCGGGATCAGATTCTTGGTTTCTCCGCTTGAGCTTTGGAGAAGCTGGAGTTGCTGTGCCTTGCCGGGAATCTCAAAACCAGCGTACAGAAAGGGGACCAGAAGGCTCTTAGTAATCTGAGCCTCCCAAACATTGCGAGTTTCTTATTGCAATGTTATTTACCTTAAACAAGTTGAGACTTTAGTTCAAGAAAAGAAAAACAAAGTTTTGAAGCCCGCTTATAAAATAACCTGGTGACTCACCAGGCCAACAGTTCCAGGCAAGTAAGAGTAATAATTCAGCATGTTTCAATACTATGCAAATAAGGAGTCAGTAATATCTGAATGGACTTGTGCTGATAAAAACCGGTTTCGCTTAGTTGTCCTTCATAAATTTGGAATGGGACTTTTGTCTTTTTGCTATTGGAGATTGCACAGCATTTGAATATACAGCCTCTCCACATAAAATCACCAAAATGTGCAGCCACTCAGTTACACCATGTGAAACACCTACAGTCCCACTCCAAGCCGTTTCCCTCGCACTTGGCTACAAACCTTTTAAGCAGCAGCCAGTTGAGAATGCTATTTTCTGCATCCTTGCCTTTGATGTGTTTTACAGTCAATAACTTCACAAGCGCTGAGAGAGAAAGCATCGACACACCGGTCTTTTTCTGTCATTTTGTTTTGACTGCTGGCCTCTCCCTTCATTTCTTCACACCCCCCGGCTCCATCAAAACAGGTGGTAAGAGCAGATGCATCTCTCAGCACTGTGCTGATTAGCAGAGACAGGTGTGCTCGGGAACAGTGTGGAGAACTTACAACCCAGAACACTTAAAGCTTACTGGCAATACTAGAGTCAGAAAAAGGCTTAACACTTTGGGATGTGTGTTTCCAGAAAAAGATGGATTATTTCCTGAAGTGGTCGCGGGCTCTGTTGCTTCTATAGCAGAGGGCATCGCGCTGATGTATATCTGGGAAATTTCAGGTTTCCACGCCACACAGGGCCTGACTGAAGGATGGCTCCCCACCCTCCTCCTCCTCCGAGACTACAAGATCCCCTCCCTCTTCACTATGTACAAGTAAGATCTTCAGGGTTCCTTAGGATCACAAACAGGATTCATATCTCTGGGCGAAGATCTAGAAGTTCACAAATGTATTTGCCCCAGGCCAGACAGCCTTCGGAGAACAGCTGTGTGGTAGACACACACCGAGCTAGGTGCACTGATGGACCTTTCCTTCTTTGTAATCTGTCACTGTTCTCAGTTCTGTCATTCTCCCAGTTCGAGGCCGTGATACAAGATGCTGATGTAAATACATCGCTCAGACCATCCATGTTCCTTTGGCCTGTGCTTATACGCCATTTGAGTCTATTGCAGAGTTCAGCTGCTCTTTGAAAGATGTACGAGTTCCTACTGCATGGATCGTCAGTTTAGTTAAATAAGAATGCAAAGCATATCTGCTGCACATTGAGCACATAGAACTGTTTCATATGCTTCATGTGTGCTGCATGTATGGAAATTCAGGAACAGAGTAGGAGCAGATATTAGTTACAGAAAGATTACATTATACCCATGCCCTGATTTACAGTATGAATATAATTCCTTCCTCCAAAACTGATTGTAAGATGAAAACTCATAAACTCGAAACCAAATTCCCTTTAGTTTACATGTGCAACCTTCCACACCGTTCCCAAGGTCTTGAAAATCACCTGGTGTTACTTGTTTTTACTCTAACAGAGCACTGAGTCATTAAAGGAAGAACGCTTTTGCTTGTTTATAATAATTTCCCTTTTTCCTTTAGTACAATTCGAACACCCTGAGTTAACCAGATAAATAAAGTCTGCAGAAATGATAAAAGTGGAGACGTTCTGAGGAATTGTGGGGAGGTCAGGCCATGAGGCTGGCGTCTTCACTGTAGCAAAAATCTCATTGAACCCGAGAAAACCTGAAAGGAAAATGCACACTTTGTCATAGTGAAAACTCAGACGCCGGTGTTCGTGGGTCAACGGAAGGGTGCCGATTGTTCTAGCCAGTCAGGTGTCAGGAACGTGACCCTGTGGTTCTGTTTTGCCCACAGCGAGCAGGAGCTGAAGTATTCTCTCCAGATACTGACTGAGCTGGAGGTGCAGATTGTAAAATGCGGCGTCAACCCCTTCGCGTCCCTGAAGCCTGAGCAAGTGCAGTCCAGCCCGAACAAGCCCCCCGTCTACTGCAACTCTCACTACATCAGCTTCCACGGGCCGCTGGAAGGATTTGAAATCCAGCAGGAAGAGGAAGGATAAACTAGAATGTAGACTTTTCTTTTTACTTGCTTGGAGTCTAACATTTTGTCGCACATATACTATATATAGTTCCAAATAGGGCTTATGAAAATAAAGAATACAGTGGATTAGTCGATAATTAAAACAAGTAATCATAACCCCCGAATTGTAAAGGTCCCTGAGTTCTTTGTTCTCTGTCACAGCTTTGGTGAAAACAGAAGTCAGACACACTGAGTTAAACAAATATTTATTAATAATGACAATACACACTAACCCCCCCCATATACATACAGTACAACAAGTTTTGTTATTTAAAGTACATACTTACATGCAAGGTGTCCCAGAGGTTTAAATCCTGACCCACTAAAAAACTCCAGACTGCTACCAAGTATTCAAATCCTCTCTAACAACTGGAAAAAGTCCAAAATTAAATAAAACTGCCTTCTAAACCAACAGAGTACAACCTACAGTTAAACCTGGGTGCTACAAAATGAATGGGAACCTATCTTCCTGGTTCCAAAAATTCCTCCACTAACCAGGAAAGGCTGTTTTTAACCTAGGGATTCTCTACACAGGAAACTCTATCAGAGTGTCCTAAAAACAACAGAATGCCAGGCTCTCTTAACAAGGTTCATATACTTAACTCTGTTTTGTACAGACAACCTGGTCAAGGACGACCTCTGGCCTGGCATACGCATTTTTCCTCTTTCTGCTCCTTCTTTCTTTTCCTCTCTGCCCTCTGTCTGTCTCACATTTTTGGCTGGTTTCCTGCTGATGACACTTTTCATTTTTCAATAATCGTTCACCCAGAACTTCATTAAAACAAGGTAAGCCAGCCAACTCCTTTTAAAAGTGTCTCACACCCAGCACAGCGACATAAACACCAGAGTTTCTTTCATCCTTTGAACCTCCCGAGAACTTCAGATGTTTACCCTAGTCAAGTGTTAACCGTTGTATCTAAATTCATCAAGACATCAATAGCCACTTCTAGGGACTGTAACTATATGCACAGACAAATAGTCACAGACTTATCTGTATTGTCTTCCTGCATTTCTAACAGTATTTTCTAATACATTCTGCTCATTGTTGTCTGTTACTTAGTAAAAACAACAATGAGTCTTTTTGAACATCTTTCGTGCGTAAGATGTGTAATGAATTATCGGAGACGTCTACGAGGGGACCTGATTCAAATTCCTCCAACGCGCCCAGCGAGTGAAACATGAGTCGGAAGTAAGCCCGGTGAGGACAGGCGGCATTTCTGGAACACGCATTGCCACACTGTTGAAGCTGCTGCTGTATACGGGCTCTTTTCAAATGCATGGTCGAATAAGAGCCTCAGATCAAGCAATCTAAACATTTGTAAACTTCATCATTGTCTTAACTAGTTAAAGGTACTGTTGTTCAGGGTGTCAGTGTGGCTTATGTAGTGTTAGAAGGTGATTTAACAAGTGTGTGCTGCAGAAAACACTACACCCTCGGACAATTACACGCTAATAGCACATTTGCCACTTTCAACAGAAGAAACATAAGCCTCTTTGACAGCCTAAACAGGGATCTCACCCTTTTTTTTTTCTGGTGTGAACAGGTCAACTCTGTTATCGGACCCCTGCTTTAGAGAAAGCGGTTTATCACTTTGAACATTTGAATCTCATTTTCTTCTTCCAACTCATTTTCAATGCGCCCTTCTTGAAAGAGCCGATTGAGCAGAGAACGGTTAACAGCAGCTCATAGAGTGGCGTTTGTTACAGGGCGTGTGTGTGGGGTCTGTATCGTATACAGGCAGACCAGACAATTTTCATAAAGCTTGTCTCCTGGGCTGTATTAAAACACTACCTCCTTTACGTTTCACTTGCCAGGGGACGTTTATCAGGACATCAAATCATTCCCCCATCCTCACACAATTTACCAGGAAAGTTCACACGATCATCAAATGCAGAGTTTTCTACCATCAGGGCTTGATCCTGATTCTGTACATCTTTAAGAAAATAAGGGATTAGTCAGCTCTTCCTCATTGCAGAAAGGAAAAATCTAGTTTTTCACCTCTAGTTATCAGCATTCCCTCTTTAATTTATGAAGATTGACTCCCCAAAATTTGTAAAAAGTCCTCTGAATCAAGTGAAGTATAGGCTTGGAATGAGCACAAAATAAGCTGCACAAAACTGAAAGTCACCCTTTTTGCAGAGGTGGCAGGAGCCAAAGGCTGGAAGGGAAGAGGAAAGAGGAGCAGATACAGTAGGTTCACCTGAGGGAACCCATTTTACTACCATTCCTCTGAAACAGGAGGTGATGCAGCAAAGCGTCCAGAGAGCGCATTACTGCGTTTTTACTTCAAATCAACACACAGGTTGCGTAATAAACAAAATTGCAAAAAGCAGACCCCGCTGTTTTCCTGTGGTGTTTCAAGTTCTGAATATGTTCAACTAGATAAAATAAACATACCGTTGAAGTGTGTCATTTTAATGTGTTTTAAAGCCTTGAAACAGCACAAATATGAAATGGTTTCTGTACAAAATAATTACATTTCCTAGTATTAGAAAGCATTCTTTTCACCAAGCACATTAATTTACAGAGAGCTTTAAAATAGCAAACATGGGGGTTGGTCCTGATTTTATATATCGTCAAGAAAATGATAGATTAGTCCTCATTGTAAAAAAGCAGAAAGGAAAAATGTCGTTTTTAACCTCTGCTTAATCAGCACTCCCTTTAATTTATGTAGAAGAATTACCCAAAATCTGTCAAATAAAAATGATTGTATACAGTAACACCACCTGTTAGGTTTTGTCTGAGATGGATGAATATTTTAACATCTAACTCCCAGTGCTCCAGGGCAATTTCCAGTTCCAGCTGTCCTTGTGTGTGTCACCAGAAGCGAATTGCTCCTGTCCTCACCTGCTTAAATACGCATGATGAATTCATTCTGCTGGAAGGTTTCTTTTTAAACAGTCCGAGAGATCTGCACCC